AAGGTTTTGTGTGCGAGGTGGGAAGGAGGCAGGTAGGAGGTGGGTAGGAGGCTGGAAGGCTCATTCCCCACCTCAAGGGCCTCTGGGGTCCATGTTGCAAACGTCTGGGCTCCTTTTCCTCCACTCTGTTTGTAATTCCAGCCCACTGGTTGTTATCTGGCCCTTGACCAGGACTCTACTGAATCACGCCCTGATCAGGAACATCTGAATTGAATGTTTTGCAAACCACCCCCTGCAGCCACCTGCACCTGCTAGGCGGACTTCTGGCACTTCCTCTTCTTCCCCAGGCCTACTCTTCTCTTTCTTCCTTTTTCTCCCTTTTTGTTTTCGTTGGTTCCATTTAGGAGAGATGCTCTGTGAGCCTTTGCTTTTTCAGTTAAGTAATATCATGATTAATAAAGAGTATGAGAGGTAGGGTTGTGAGCTTTAATTTACCACTTACTGCGTGGTGATAGAACCAAGGCTTGGCGACCTTTCTGAACCCCCCTCTTCATGGCCTTTTCTGAGGAATAAGACCATCTTGTACAGTAATGGGAGAGGGGTTAAATGAGGTAATATACAGTATAACTTGATCCCCATTGTAGTGAGAGCTTTCTTTCCTCTTACCTAGATTTCCTTAATATTGGCCTAATCTGGCCTCACATCCCTTTGATTTCTAAAACTGGTAAGCTTCTCTTGGCTTCACAGCCTTGGTGAAGGGCCCATGCTGGCATCACCTCCTTGAGGGACATACTGTGTCCCACCAATTTCAGGTATCATTCATGTCCTTGGTTCTCTCTCGTCATCCTTGGTATTCGTAGGATCAGTGATCATAGAACTTATTCACATACTTCTGCATCTCTATCATTGGACTGACAATCAACTCTATGTCCAACTGCCTGGGACTGTCACTTACTGCCATTCAATTGGTTCTCCAGTAGTTGCTAGATGGCTACTTTTTTTTTCTAAATCACATATAATTTTGCCTGACCTTCACCAACAACAATTTTCTTCACTTCTCTTCCTTTTCTCTCCAAACTGAGAATCCCTGTCCTAAACTCTGGAACACAACACCCGGAGATGAAAGTGTAAGACCTATTCCTAGATACACAGCCAGGCTTTCCAAGCGGTTCCCTGTGGCAGTCTGGGTGGGATGCTTTTGTTGTCTAGGATCATGGTGTGCTTACTCTTCTGAGCCTCTAACTGTCAGCTGTACTCCTCACTCGTGGGGAGAATCCAGAACATACCCACACACTTTCCAACATGGAAAATTTCAGCCACAGGTGAAATTCACAGGCGTCTTCGGCCTTGGATGCTTTGTGACTGGCAAGTATTGAAAAAAACTGACCTGGAACTCTGAAAAGCAATAGAGAAAGCCTGTTTGCATGTGTTTATGGTAAGAGCAAGAATCAGATCATTGTAACCAAAGCAGATCTCATCCTATTTCCTATTTTTTCCTGCCAGGAGATAGATTCTTTCACTGAATCTGTGAAGGAGGAAGAGGATGGGGGTGTTTTAAGGATGTTTTAAAGGTTGGCTCAGATTCTACTTGGAGTCTAATCTCAGACCAGACTCATTCTTTCTGAAGTCCTAGGCATGCAGAGCTGAATTCCAAGGTGGCTTCTCAGGTGATTTGTTTTAAAAAAAAAAAAAAAGTGCCCATTTCACATCATCATACTGTCCCTGAATCATCAGAACCAGGAAAGGATCAATACATAGTTTCAGCGCTACTAATCAATACTTCATTCATTCTGCTAATCTGTGATTGTACTAAGTATATTTGCTGGTGCAAGACAATCAACTTGCTCTATGGGTGCGCTCAATCGACCATAAATAAATTTAGTATAGTTTGCAGCTGCTTGAGGCTTGGTGACTTCCTGGTTAGGAGTTATCTTGACCCGTGTTTGCACACAGGTCTGACTCTGCCTTTTTCTGTTGGTAAATAAAAATTAGGTGTAATACTTCTAACTCATAATAAGCAAAGAAGAGCCATTGAAAATGTGTGCCACTCATAGAAAGCATTCATGGAAGGAGATACTACAGGGTTAGTTATGGTTTATCCATAGTGCTTGGTACTAAATTATTTCAGAGTTCAGATTTTCCAATAACTGTGTGTATATATAATGGATGTCACTGGAGAAGACTCAGCATAAACATGAAATTAATTTATGCTTCATTGTTTCATCCTTCATACACACTATAAATACACAGGCTGAAGCTGTTTTTCTGTTGTTTTTTTATGAATACAATAGTATTCTTTTTTAAAAAAAATATTTATTATTTTTATTTTATGCGTATGCATGTGTTGCCTGCATGTAAGTGCACCAGTGTCATGCAATGCCCACGGAGGTCAGAAGAGGCTGTCGGATCTCCTGGGACTGGAGTTACGGACAGTTGTTAGCTGCCATGTGGGTGCTAGGATTTGAATTCGGGTCTTCTGCAAGAAGAACCAGTGTTCTTAACTGCTGAGCCATCTCTCCAGCCCCTGAAACTGTTTTTTAAAGATTTATTTTTTATTTTATGCATATGTGTGTGTGTACCTGAGGTTATGTATGTACACCATGTGTGTACAGTTGCCTATGGGGACCAGAAGAGGGCTTCCTATCACCTAGAGTTGAGTTATAGGTGGTTGCGAGCCATCCAATGTGGTGTTTGGAACTGAACTGGGTCCTCTGGAAGAGCAGCAAGTTCTCTTAACCACTGAGCCAGCTCTTCAGCCCAAGTGGTTTCTGTTTTGTTTTGTTTTTTTTTTCCCAATATTTTATTATTTTTATTTTATGTGTATGAGTGTATTGCCTGCATGTATATAAGTACACCTGTGCAGTGCAATGCCCACAGAGGTCAGAAGAGGGTGTTGGATTCCTGAAACTGGAGTTAGGATTGTTGTTAGCCACCACGTGTGTGCTGGGATTTGAACCTGTGTCTTCAGCAAGAGCGGCCAGTGTTCTTAACTGCTGAGCCATCTCCCCAGCCCCTTTTGTTTTTTAAAGCTGGGTCTCATTATGGAGCCTAGGTTGCCTTTAATTTGCAATTCTCTTGTTTCAGTGTCCTGGGGGCTGGGATTATAGGCATGAGCCATTATGCCTGGCATTTAAAAGTAATTTCATATATTTTTATTAATTTTGTGCATGAAACAAAATTTTATGGTTTGGAATATTTCACTTCTGGTTTCATGTTGGTACTCAAAAACTTTCAGGTTTTAAGTGGCATCGTGGCACAGGCCTTTAATCTCAGCACTTGGGAGACAGAGACAGGATCTCTGTGAATGGTTAGTCTGTTCTACATAGTGAGTTCTGGGCCAGCCAAGGCTGCATAGTGAGACCCTGTCTCAAAAAAAGTTTCAAGTTTGGGGGCCTGGAGAAATGCCTTAGTTGGTAAGAGCATTTGATGCTATCACAGAGGATCCAAATTCATTTCCCAGCGTCCACATCAGGGGGCCCACAACTGCTTGTAACCTCAGTTTCAGGGGATTCAATGCCTTCTGGCCTCCATGGGTACCAGTACACATGTGGTACACTCAGTCCCCCCCTCCCAATACAATAGAATAATAAGCCTTTATTAAGAAGTTTCAAGGTTTGGCCATTTTGGATCCTTGTGTTAGGAGTGCTTAACTTGCAGGATTTTAGGATTTGGAGTGAGACAAGTTCGGATATATTTTTTGACTTTCGCCGATCCTCTGATTCTTTATCTGTGAAGTGGAGATGTTATAGCAATATTTGCCACACCAGCACCAGCCTGTTGTACAGATTAAATGAACAAATGCTCACAAAACTCTTATACATACCAGCCTGGCACATATCCAACTAGACATGAACAGGTGCAAGCTCCTTTTCACAGCCAGACATACTTTTTTTCTTTCTACCCCAGGGAGGTGAAAGATTGGGGCTGGGAGGAAGGCAGAGCAGGAGAAAAGGCCTAGGGAATTTGGCAGAGGCGATGATAGGGTAAAAACATAGGAGATAACTGGCTGCCAAACTTTTTTTTTCTTTTTTGAGACAGGTTTTCAAGTAGCCCAGGTTGGCCTCAAACTCACTGTGTGTGTTGTTGAGGATGACCTTAAACTCCTGATTCTCTAGCCTCCACCTCCCAATTGCTGGAATTACAGGTGTGTATCACCACTCCAGGTTTATGCAGTGCTGGGGATGGAACCTAGGGCTCTGTGCATACTAGGCAAGCACTCTAAATTGAGTTAACATCTCCAGCCCCGGGCTGCCACACTTTGAGCTGAAAGATGAGATAAGGGCTGCATTATCTGCTGAGTTTTGTATCAGTGTCAGGTTTTTTTAAAAAAAATATTTTATTTATTATTACTTTTAAATATTTTATTTATTTTTATTTTATGTGTATGCGTGTATTGCCTACATGTAAGTAAGTGCACCTGTGTCATGCAATGCCTGCAGAGGTCAGAAGAGGCTGTCGGATCCCCTGGAACTGGAGTTACAGACAGTTGTTAGCTGCCATGTGGGTGCTGGGATTCGAACCCGGGTCTTTTGCAAGAACAGTCGGTGTTCTTAACCGCTGAGCCATCTCTCCAGCACCTATTTATTATTTTTATATTTTTATGTGTATGCATATATTGCCTGCTTGTAAGTGCACCGTGTCATGCAATGCCCATGGAGGACAGAAGAGGCTGTCGGATCCCCTGGAACTGGAGTTACAGACAGTTGTTAGCTGCCATGTGGGTGCTGGGATTCGAACCCACGTCTTCTGCAAGAACATTCAGTGTTCTTAACCACTGAGCCATCTTTCCAGCCCAGGTTTTTTTCACTCTTGAAATGAACTGCATCTCCATGCCCTTTAAGATTGCAACCCTCAGGGAATGACTTACCTTATTAACAAGCATGGATGGATCAGCTCCTTCAGTGTATTTCCAGGTTAGTGCTATAAGAAGATGTATATCTTGGAATCAACAAAATACTGTAATAGTATAAAATTTGAATCTTGCCCAATATCCTCCTTGAAATAGAGCACTTCAACTTGCTTTGTGTGAACCCTGAACACAAATGGAAGAATGCGAAACATTTTCAGTTGCACACCTTTAGTTTATTGACCTACGTAAAAAAATAACAGGTCTTAAAAAGTCAGAACAGTAAAAGAATATGCAAAAGGGTATTTCCAATTCTAGAAGGCTATACAAATATGCAAAAAGGAATAAATTATTTTTTTGCTTCTGTCTTTTTTCCCCCCAAACTTTATTCCTAATGATACAAATGACTAAGGACCAGGTTAACAAATCATTTTTACGTATATATTACATGCTTTGGGCTATAGATAGAAAAATGTTCCAAAAAAGTTGTTCAGAAACGTGTCTATTCACAATATGAACACGAAGCTTGTATAAAAGGGGAAGACGAAGGGAGCACCTTTCATGGAATTCTGAAGCAGAGTAAAGATCGATGTGGAGCAACGAAATCATTTGCTCTAAAAAGAAACAAAACCCTACCACAAGCCTAGCTAATAAGTTCTTCCAGGGAAGTATGAGGTAGTTGAAGCCTCATAATTCAGTCTTACTGCTGCTTGGAGTCAATTTCTTCTTATTTTTTTTCAATCGTGTTTTTAATCACTTTGTGACTCAGGATTCTGTCTGGAATCCAGCTCACAGGTTCAATCACTACTGTTCACCACTGTAAGGCACACATTCATCTACAATGATGTGGGTTGGCTTTGTTGTTGTGGGGGTCCTTCTGTTATCACCTCAAAATACTTTCTCAAGCTCATGATTACACAAACTTTTCTAGCTCTCATCTATCGTTTCAAATGATAAACAAGGTGGAGAGTTACCAGTCTGAACAGTCACTCATGGATCGGGCAGGTACTGGGAAGCACAAGGGGCTCAGCGCGATTGTACCTTCAGGAAGTCCTCCAAGCAGCGCTGGCCAGGTGTTCAGTGGGCTACTTCCTTTCCCTAGCTCCCATCAAGTTAAAGTACAGGATGCTACAGCAATGAGAACAGCGGAACCCATATTATGGTGCTTACGACAAACATCACGCTTTTTAATATCCTGAAAAGAATTACACTCATTCAGAACTTCATGAAAAATCCAACTTCTCTTCAAGTAAGTTTCCAATACTGTTTAAATTGTCCGTGTCTGTGTAGAAATACCAGGTTATTCTCTGTCAGCTCATGAGTTTAAACCTTGTGATGGTGAGCCATGACTCAGGAGCCTCTGGTTTGCCCTCTCTGAGTATCCTGAACTGTGCTCTGAAATCTTCCGTCCTCCTTTCCAATGGGACAAACTCCCTGAACACATCCCCAGGTTTTGCAGTTTGCCTTTGACAACTGTTGTCCTCTTCCTAAGTGCTCACTTGGGTCAAGGCTTCACATCAGTCCTCTTGGCAGTAGTTCCACACGGACCTTACTGATAGGTTAATGCTGACAGTTTGAAAGGCAAGTCCTCATCCAGAGGCTTTTGTGGAACTGAGTATGTGATTCACTTCCAAACCACATGAGGCTTCTTCTCTTCACTCTTTCATGCCTTCAGTTTCTAAAGCCTTCTAGGAAGATGAACACACTTTGCAAGGCACACCAGTGTGAGGATGCGCAGTGCTTGGTCAAGAGGTCCAACTGCATTCAGACTAATGTTCCAGGCTTGGAGTCTTCATGCCAGAAGAGTCTCTGCTCACTACCCTCCAAGTTGTCTTCCAGCTGGTTTCCATCTGTACCGTCCAGCGGAGTGGTCTCTGCATACTGTCTATTAAAGAGAACCAGAAAAGTTTCTACCTGTGGCCATTTTTGCTGTTGCAGCACAAACACTATTGCATTGGAACAAGTTAGTGGGAAGCACTGTTAAGAAAAAAACTTTCCAGAACTTAGACATGAAGCACAGAATGATTGCACATTCTTCTTACAGCACACTGGAGCATTGTCTAACACACATATAAATATGATTTAATTCTCTAGAGGGTTCTACCTTTGTTTAACTTACATTTACTACTGATTAGGACCCAGATGGTATTAAGTTACATGTTAACTTGTAGGCTTTTGTCTGGAAAAAATACAAATATATCCTTTGTAGTAGAAAATGCTATGGATTATAGTTTATTGCCTCATAAGACATTGTTATAGTTAGCTTTAGTTGTCATTTGACACAAGCCTAGAGTCACCTGGGAAGAGGGAACTTCTACTGAACTCAACTGAAGAACTGCCTCAATCAGACTGGCCTGTGGCCATGTCTAGGAGGCATTTTCCTAATTGCTAAGTGATATAGGAGGGCCCAGCCTAGTGGTGCTCACTCCTGGGTGGTGCCATCTGTAGGCAGGTGGACCTGAATGGTGTAAGAAAGCTATCTAAGCAAGCCAGAGGGAGCAACCCAGTACGCAGGATTCCTCAGTGATTTCGGCTTCAAGTTCCTGACTCGAGTTCCTGCTTTGGCTTCTCTTGATGAAAGATGTAAGATGAAATAAATTCAAGTTGCTTTGGGTTATGGTGTTTATCAAAGCCACAGAAAAGCAAAGTAGGACTGAGGTTAACTAGTCTAGTACATAATTTAATAATAACAACCCAGCATTGTCTGTCATTGTTTTGAGTTCGCTTTGAACCGGCATAATCAATGTGCCAGTTCCCCTATTAACAAGTGCAATGAATCTTGACACATGCCTGCTTTTTAATTTTTTTGACTCATATTTTAATTTTCTAAAAAAAAGCATATTTTGACATTTTTCAAATTAAAAGAATACACTATGTGCTTTTCCTCAGGGGCAAAGGAAAATATTTAAAGGTAAAGGGACACCTTGAGACATATCATGTCCTGAGGGTTTAAGGGCTAAATATATTTTGTCAATGATCCAGGGAATGGCACCATATTTAAAAGTCATAGACATTTTGATTCCCAACACTGTCAGAAAAAAAAAAAAAAAAAAAAAAGAAGCAGACATATTTGGGCGGTATATTCAAATGAGAATACCCTATTATACAAACCATTTAGATAAGCAAAGCACATTCTTCTAACAGTAGGTTAAAACAGGTTAGACAGTTAGTAGATTCCTATTTTCAACTTCAAAGTCTTTTAGTAAAGGGTGTAAATCTCTGGAGGGAGAACTTTGAAAATACATACTATATAAATCCAGGATTTTTAGTGTTTTCATGAAACATCAAAGCAAAGTCAGATTTCAGAGCTTCACACAGCAGTCAGGGCAAACCAAAGTCCTGCTACACAGCAGGCTGCACGCAGACTCAACTGTACTTACTACAGCTGGGTATGCTTAGCAAAAGGGAGCTTAACACTGATCTCACGTCTGCAGTCACAACTGTTTTCTGCGACACAAGCCCTCGGTTTTGCCTAGTGATCAGGAGAGTTAGACAGGAAGAGGAAAGGAAGTGGAGAACATAAGTGAAAGAAAACAAGATATTTGAAAACACGGTTTAGCAGTAGAGCCATGACTTTGCCTCTGTTAGAGACTTCACAGCATAAGAGATTTATTCAACACGTCTGCTTTGGGAAGTTTATGTCAATGCCCAGTTCACTAAAAAGTTGTCAGTAAAAATTTCTAGTCTTTCAAAATATATTGCATGAAATTCGCAAAAATTCAATTAAAAAGGAAAAAAAAAAAATTCTAACTTTCCGAAGACTAAATACTTTGGGGAAGAGATTCTGTAAATGATATACGATTAATTTATTAAAAAAAAAAGAAGTACTCATACACTGCTAACCATTTTAAGATGCTCTAGCATCAAAGAAAATCTAAAGCTTCTGATCTGTATCTTGAAACTTATTTTCTCCTTTTTCTTTAATTAGCATGTATCAATTTATTAATTGTACAAATAGGCTTCATTATAACATTTTCACACACACAAAACAAAACCAAACAAAAAAACCCCATAATTTTGTTTCTAATTTTTAAAATAATGGGGTTTTTTTTTGTTTGGTTTTGTTGTGTTTTGAGACAGGGTCTCACTCTGTAGCCCAGACCGACCTTGAACTCATTATATAGCTCAGGGGGCTTCACGTTTGCAGCACTCCTCCTGCCTCAGTCTTCCAAGTGCGCGAGCCACCATGGCAGCTTTAAAAATCATGTTTTCATAAAAATGATTCGTGCAATTTTAAAGCAAATTTCTGAAGCTTTAGGAATGACTATCACTGTATTTGGCTTGTTGGTAAATTAAATTAACATTATTAGATTGTAGCATAGTTTTTAAAATCCTACATAAAACTGGATTGAAGTATCTCTTCCATATCTCTGGCTGGAAAGGTATATGCTGATGATCTTTTTGAAAAGTAAAAACTTAAGCAACATACTCTTCAGTGTAATGCAGTAATTCTACTTTGGAGATGTATACACTCAAAGAAGTAATTTGGAATGCAGACAAATATGTTGCACAAGGTATACTAATATCACTAGTAATAAAAGGAATCTAAAGTATTCAAAAACTGAGCTTTTAAATAAAGTGTCATATATTTATTAATTGATCGTATAAATAAGGCCTAAAAAGTTTTAAACACATAGGAACATAATTTATGATATTAATTTTAAAAATGAGCCGTATAATTTCATAAACAAGATAAGATATAAAACTATCTACAATATCATTATGATCATGTGGATCATGGATCCACAAAAATGAAGGAAATGTACCAAATGCTAATATCGCTATCTCCGGTTGGTAGAATTATGACTATTATTATCTTATTTAATCCTTTATTATTTTTGAAATTTTCCACAATGAACTCTGCACACACACACACACACACACACACACACACATACACATACACACACACTAGAGAGCTTTAAATAGCTTCTAATTTCCTGTACACTGTGTCCCCTTTGACATGTCTTCCCTATCAAGCCATCTTGGGCTGCCTGAAATATATAGGCAGACTCAGTAAAAAACAGATTTTCCTTTCAAAATGTTTAGCACTTCCTGAATTCAATGAAAGTGGTTTGAAAGATATCAGGACTGCCTTATGCACTGGGTCAACAGAAAGTAAAAGAACACAGCACAAACATGAAAATTGTTTGCAAATATATCACCCAAAGTGATCAGAGTTGTACTGGAAGGGCCAGTCATTTTGATTCTTACTGCTGACTCATTTTAAAGCATTATTTATACTTGTCTGAGCCATCTGACGCCTTGTAAAGTATATTTTCACCAGATCTATTTTGAGTACACCCTTTGTTGCATTGAAACAATTGGCTTAACATTTCAAGCCAAGAAAAACTCTGGCTGAATGTGGAGAAGAAAACAAGTTTTAGGGGGTTGAATGTTTCCAAGTGGCTTGTACCACCAACTGCAGCCGCAAATCACTAGTACAGAGGCCTTGCTAAGTCAGAGCCTCTGTAAGTCTCCTTTACCTGAAGCAGCAATCAGACTTAAAACTCAAGACCAAATTTCTTTAAAAATGAACCCAGAAAATGCCTTTCTTCTTGTTAAGAGTAAGCAAGGAGTGGAGATATAAACTAATTGCTCCTTTGCAGAAGAATTGAAAACCCTGGAATTCTGAGCCTATGAATTTTTTTGGCATTTGTTATATTTTATTCTTATCTATTTTATATATATCTTAATAGCCCCGAGAAGATACAATACTAATTCCCTCTATCCACCTATAGTCATCTCTGCTGGGGGAGTCACATTTGCATTTGGAAAGAAGGCTGTGATTTTTTTTCCCCCAAGTTCCATTTAACACATTGTTCTTCTGTATTTCCACTAATGTTTACAAAGAACTACTTTTTAAAAAGAATTTTATTTATTTTTATTTTATGTGTATGTGTGTATTGCCTGCATGTAGGTAAGTGCACCCATGTCGTGCAATGCCTGCGGAGGTCATAAGTGGCCGTCGGATTCCCTGGGACTGGAGTTACGGACAGTTGTTAGCTACCATGTGGGTGCTGGGATTCAAACTTGGGTCTTCTGCAAGGACAACCAGTGTTCTTAACCGCTGAGCCATCTCCCCAGCCCCAAGAACTACTTTTAAAGACAAATAGGACAGCTGGCTACGTCCATTGCTTCTTAGTGGACACAGGGTCAGACACAAAGAAACAGCACATGGATGGAATCCAGCCTACCAACTGTCTAAGGGACCTTGGTATGAACAGCTTTACTAAAGTAGAGGTATTTTTCATGTGATTTTTTTTTCTCTTCTCAGAAATGGACTTTATACAAAATACAGTTTTAAAATTTAAAAAAAGAAAAAAAGCATGCCTTTGGACTGGAATTTAATCATGTACATAGATCTGAGACCAGGGTGGAACTGGAATGAGCTAATTTAGAGTTCAGAAAACTCCTTTAAGCAAACATTTTCTTAAAGGTCTACTTGTATTTTTGGTTTTGCTGGCCATGTTATTTGCCAAAACCATGTAGCTTTGTCCTCGTAGTGTAAAAACAGCCACAGCTAACATGGCAGTGAAGGAACACAGTTATTTTCCAATGAAATGTTATTTACTGAATCAGGTGGCAGTTGGATTTGGTCTGGAGGCTATAGTTTACCAAACCCCATGTTATACCATATCACACTTATAAGCATTCTTTGACAAGGACCAGGTTTCCAGAATTTATACACTATATTCTCACCTGCTTGGAGAGGGCAAAGGATTGTAGATGCTGCCATAACAGCTGGCGTAGGGAGAGTGCACTGGAGTCTCGTAGTCAGACAGCCCTACAGTTACCTGGGTCCTCCAGTTCCCAGAAGTATTTGTAGAAGACACTAGAAATAAGTAGAGCAGGAGAGAGTGAATTAGTGCAAATATTCTGAGTGAAATTTGTTTGCTGTGTGCAGACTGGAGAGAGATGACAGGCCTGGGTTTGGTGTCTTATTTGCTGGAGCCCAGGTCTTGCCCACATTCTACTGCTGAGATACATGCCCAGCTGAGCTGAGATTTATAATCAATTTAACTTGGTGGCTTAATGGCTGACTGACCTGAGCAAACAGCTTATCCTCTTTAAGCCTCAGTTTCTTATGTGTAGGATAATAGCGTAAGTATATTCTGTATAGTTATGACACCAGGATTAAAGACAATTATGAATACATTTAACTTGATACAGAATAAAGACTCATTAATAATAACTGATTAGAATAAATTGAAGTGAAAGATAATTTTTTTCAATTATATTTTTTAAGGTGCTGGAGAGATGGCTCAGCAGTTAGGAGTACTTGCTGCTCTTGCAGAGGACCCGGGTTCAGTTCCCAGCACCCACATGGTGGCTCACAACCATCTGTAACTTCAGTTCCAGGGGATCCAACACCCTCTTCTGACATCTGTGGGCACTGCACACATATGGTGCACATAGATTGATGAAGGTAAAACACCCATATACATAAAAATAAATCTTAAACTTTTCTTAAATAACTCCAAATAAAACGTGAAAGGATTCTCATAAATGGAGAGAATCTTCCCACCCAGGCTGGGGTGGCTGAAGACAAGGCTTTAGGTGTTAGGTCAGGAGACACTTGAGAGTATGTTGGAGGTCTCTGGAGGAAAAACATTCAGTCAGGTGACTTGTTGAGCCTTAACTGCCAAAGGCAATACTGGCTCCTGGCAAGATCAGAGAACTTTCTGTTGTCTAAAAAAGTGATAGGGGTGGGGAGAGAAACTGGTAGAAGGAAGAGGAGACTAATTTACAGAAGGGCGGAACCAAAAGAGGGCAAGGGCGTAATTTAGAAGCAGAGCCCGCTGAAAGCCAGTCACTGGGTTTCTGCCGTCCTCTTTGTAGAACCAGTCCTGCTCCATGCCTTGGCTGCGCAGGTAGTATATGGCCCTACTGCTTGTCCAAGACTCACAGGAACAGTATTGCTCATGGCTCTTCCTGTTTTCTGTTTTCTGTTCCTGGCCACTGACCTTCTCCTCTTACCACATCCACAAACCACCTATGATCACCACAGGAGAAACACACTTCATCTGTGGCCCTAGATGCCATGCAATTTTCACTAGCAGATTCAGGATTCTCACAGAGTTTCCAAGATCACTCTTCCAAGCTCTAAGCGGAGGTTCTAGAGCTCAGGGGTTCTGGGGTAGAAGCCCTACTCCACCACTTACCAGCCTGGGAGATTGGAAGCATCATTCAAATACTCTAAAGTCAGTTATCTTAGCTGTTAAATCAGAATAATAGCAAACCTAACTAGTACATTCACCATTTAGAACTGCTTACATTAGAAGGGCGAGCACAGCAAGCAGTCAAGAAAAGGTAGTTGCCATTACTACTAAAACTGAGTCACTCACTGAGAAGCTTTGGGTGGCTGGATGGGACTGCGAAAGCTCTGAGTAATACGGCAAATAACAGGAAATGTAGCTCTCCATGTGGATGAGGCATGCCTGTTGAAATACATCTCTATAGCTATAAAGTGGGACAGGGCTGAGGAACATTCCAGAAGGGATTTCCGGGAGTACTGATTCCATCCACTTATCTCCTTACAAAGGATGTTCTTAGCTAGGTGTGGCAGAATAGGCAAGAATTCTTAAGAGTTTGAGACCAGCCTGGGGCACACTGTGAGATCCTATCTCCAAAAGCCAAGGGAGGAAAAGTGAAGATTTTGGTTTATGGGACCAAATTCTGGTGCAGTCTGCAGGGCCCATTTCAGTCCCAACCAGGAAGTATTAACTTCATTTTCACCCTTGACCCATATACAAAGTCAACAGTCAGGAAAGCTGAGGTTTTTAGTTACACCTGCTTCTGCCTGGGCAGTCCCCCAGCCCTGTCCACCCTCACCATCCACTGGTATATCTAGACCCCTTGTTTGCTTTTATCCTTGTATAGAACTCTGTCCATGTTTGATCTGTGGAACAGCCTGAACTTTAAGAGGAAGATAGGCATTTTCTTATATCATAGTCACAAAACCCCACAAATAATGGCAGGAGCCTTTTCATGCATTAGATGCGGTCATAGTAGGTAGTCCTAGTAGAAGTCCAAAGTCTACAAATAAGAGAGAACTGGAAACCCAAACAGAAGTCTCCATGGAAATGCGTCTTATCAACAAACTTAGCAAAGTTTTAAAGGTACAGTTCACAATGATGGTTCTATAGGCTTGGGAACCCCCATGCTACGTCTCAGGAAAGTGCCATGTTTAATGGAAGCAGCAAGATTTGTGACTTCAGGGTTTCTGTGTGGTTTAAGAATTCGTTCATTTCTTCTGGTTTGTTGACTAGACTCTGAGCTCCTGGAGGCTAAGCATGGCTTCAGCACTAGTTCTCAACATTGTGGGCACACTTGCTCACTTGCTAAGTTCATGAAACCATGAGCAGATCTCTTCCAAGCTCTGATTTCCCTACTTAAATTACTTAGCACAGGTGGGAGTATGCGGTATTCTTGCAGTATTCTGTCGATGTCAGCAGAAGTTATGGCCAAACTTCACATAAAGGTTAGAAAGGGAACACTTTTGCTAATCAAAATTACCTGCAAAATTTTCTGGGTTTTTTGATAGTGATGGTGGAAACAGAATCCAGGTCCTTAAGCACGCCATGGAGGCAGTAAGCTATGCTCCCAGGACCCTAAATCCCTTAAATTAGCAACATGGTAGAGTATATATATATTGAATTAAGGTATGAAAGTATTTAGAAAGGTAGTTAAGAAAAGCCAGCTGCTATCAGAATCAGTGTAAGCTGGTTCATGAATATTCAAAAATCTTGGTGACCAGTAGGAAGGGATGTGTAATTCTAAAGCCTTCTGCTTACCTTATCAGTCTATTCTTTCAAAATGTTAAATCTTGGTGTTTGGAACACATTTAAGAGATGGGGTTATCAGTACAAGACCTAGACAAAAGAAAGCCAGTGAAAGCCCTAACACAGAGCAGCACATAGACTAGGTACCTAGAAAGTGTCTATGCTTGAACCTAGAACTTGCTTCACCAGGTTAATGTGCTCTCTGTCGTATGGAAAGCTAAAGAGTACTTTGAAGTTGGCAGTTCTTCCTGTGGCTCCACTGAATGACCGCTGCTCTTAATGCCCTAAGGGGGGGACTAATTTCATGATCCCAGAGTGGTTTGGGAGGAAGTATGATAGATAGTGACCCCATGGGTAATGTAGTTCCACAGTATTCTTACCTGAAGAGTAAGAAGATGCTCGACTGCTTGGAGAACAGGGCACCTGCAGCCCAGCAAATCCCAGGCATCTCTGTGATGCCCTGTCTGAGTCAAAACTAGTCTGTGGGCTGTGCCCCTGATCCTTCTGCCCAGAAGCCCTCTGGTACCAGCCACGCAGGTGCTCAGCAACTAAGGCCTTGTGGATGTTTTTGGTGATGTGCTCAGATTTCACAGCGGCCTTTCTGGGCAGCCGGAGAGTTGCATATGGATTATGGGGTACACGGTCTACCTCATCTTCATGGAAGGATCTGCTGTAGTCCCTTTGGCGGTCATATCCGTAGTGGGCTGAGGACCGGTAAGAAGGATTGACAGTGTACTGTCCCTCAGTGTCATTCTCATAGACATAACCACCACTGTAATATAGGTCACACTCCGCGTATGTCGCATAGCCAGGGATATAGTAACTAGAAGGAGGTGGTTCTTGAGCCTTGGAGTAGACTCCGTTCCTCAAAGTATCCTTTTGTGCTAGGTTGGGCATGCTTCCTGAATTTGAAGTAGAAACACTCTGTTTCTTTGACCTCCGTCGCCCCCTGGCTCGGGTGTCTAGAGTCTGGGTGGTGTAATAAGGTCCAGCAGTGGGTGTCACACAGTAATACTCTGAGCTTGACTGGCTGGTGTAGGAAGACCCATCATCCAGGATTTCAGTGCTGCTGCTTCTTTGGGATTTGGAAAGGGTGAAAAATGGCTTATCGTTGTCCATCTCGGAGAGCAGGTGGGACTGGGACTCCAAGCTTCCGCTCCGCTGGCGGCAGTGCTGAGCTGAAGAGTCGGGTCTGAAAGAGTTAAGGGCAGATGTGTACAACAGGAGGAAAGGAAGACCCAAACAAGGGAGAAGACCACTTTGAGGGCTGGGGAGATGCTGCAGTCAGTAGAGCACCTGCTCTGCAAGCATGAGGACCTGAGTTCAGCCCCACAGAAGCCAAGTAAAAAGCCAGGCATGCTGCTGGTAATCTCAATGCTAGGAAGGTGAGAATGGGCAGATCACTGGGCTTACTGGTCAGGTTCAGTGGAGACTGTCTCAAAAAATTAGGTGGAGCGTGATCTAAGAAGGTACCAGACCTCAACTTCTGGTCTCAACATGCATGTGCACTCACATGCATGTGCATCACCCTCTACATGTGCATGCATAGGACCATGTACACACACACACACACACACACACACACACACACAAAGAGAACACCATGCTGAATGATTTCATAGCTCCTGATTTCAACAGGATTTTTAAGTATCAGAATCCATGTGTTCACGTAACCCACTGGTTCACACATGAGTACATCACCAGAGTCAAAGTGAATAAAGAATCAGGTTCTGTCAGTTGTATAAACCAAATCCTTCCTTGAGGGTAGGGAAGATATAAATGATTATACACAGCCTGCATCAAAACTGGAAGACACCCTCCAATATGTCTTGGGAGGTGCTGCTCCGCTAATTAGTATTAGGTTACATTAGAGCAAAAGAGAGGCAAGATGGGAAAGAGCCCAGCCCCGAAGTCAGAGATACATGTTGAGCCATAGTATGGATGAGCTAGGGCAAGATATTTAGCCTCTCTCAATCCAGTTTCTGTTTTTGTAAAATAAAATTAAAATAGTACCTAAAAGTCCAATTTACAACAGGCTTGTTGTGGGTACTAAATAAAAGAGCACGGATAAAACATTTATGAGGCTGAGGATATAGCTCAGTTGGTAGAGTGCTTGCTTAGCATGTATGAAGCCCTGGGTTTGAGCCCCAGCACCCCATAAACCAGGTATAGAGATAAACATCTATAATCCCAGCACTTGGGAGGTGGAGGCAGGAGGATGAGTTCAAGGTCATCCTTGGCTACCTACAGAGTTCAAGTCCAACCTGGATTATGTGAGACTTTGTCTATAAATAATTAAATTTTTTTAAAAGAAGGTAAAACATTTAGGATAGTACTCAGCAAATACTTCAAAACAACATCAATGTGATGATTTTCATCCTTGCCATTGAATATTGAATGATAATATCTGGTTGGAGAAATTGAAGTATTAAAAATTGTATCTGGATCAAGTAGATGCTCTTGATGGGAAACTGTAAGCTAGCAAAAAATGGATTAGAATGAAACAGGGCCCCCACTGTAGGAAGTCCCTTAAAAAAATTTAAAAACACAGCAACGTGAGACAAACACTGAAAGCGACAGGACTAGAGCTCTTACTCCAGGTGGCTGCTGCTGTAGGCATTTCGGGTCAGGACTGGTGTAGTAGGCATGCTCCGTCCTCCCTGTGGCCGCCTCTCCAGAGTTCTGTAAGGGCTGCTGTGTGTTGATAGCATTTCTCTGTGATTAAAACAAGAAGAATTTAAGAGGTGATGAGCCACTCAACACTCCTGGCAAACTTGTCATGAGCTATTAAATCTATAGGAAGAAAGCATGGGGAAAAGAGGGGAATGGTGTCTCTGTGGTGAGCAACCTGACGGGTCCAGGGCGAGATTTAGGGAAGCACATGCAGTCTGACTCTCTGGGGTTATACACACAGCCATTAGGAGAACATGGCAGTTAACAGGAGTGGGGCTTAGCAAACCCTATTATCCACTGTCTAGTTGTAAACATTTTTTGACCTATACAATATGGAAGAGAATGGGCAAGACTGTGCTCCAAGAAAATTTTATTTATGGGCACGAAAATGCCAATCTGGTCTAATATTCATATATCAGCAAACATTGCTTTTGACCTACTCCCTCCAATTCCTTAGAAATCCATTCCTGAAAAGTCAGTTCATGAGCTGTACAAAAACAAGTAGCAGGTTAGATGTGGTCCATGGCCTGTTATCTTCATCTGCTGGTGTTCAGACTAGAGAGCATCATCCTTAACTTATTTTACCTACTTCCCAGCCAATAAAGACACAATCTTGGGCTGGAAAGATGGCTCAGTGGTTAAGAGCACTGCCTGACTGCTCTTGCAGAGGACCCGGGTTCAATTCCCAGCACCCATATGGCAGCTATGAACCGTTCTTAACTCCAGTTCCAGGGGATCTGAAGCCCTCTTCTGACCTCTGCGGCATTGCACGACATGGTTGCACTCACATACATGCAGCCAATATACTCATACACATAAAATAAAAATAAAAATAATACATAAAAGTCAATATTAAAAAAAGACACAATCTGAGATTCCTTTTTCAAAAATTAACAACTTTCTGTGGGCCTAGGATAGACCACATGTTTAGCATGCACAAATCCCAGTACAAACCCCTGTCACTCAAAAGAGGACTTCCTGAATGAAGTTTCACTTATTACAAAAGCCAAGTTCATTATAGAAGATCTTAAAAGCAGAAATAAAAATTTTGATATTCATAATGTGATGATACCTCAGATACACCATGAAATATTTTCATCTATTTTTTTAAGTGTACATACTTAGAGGCATCTGCACTTTTTAACAACAAATGAGACCTTACTTTATAGTCTTTAAATGTTTTAAAAAATATTTTATGTGTATGAGTGTTTTGCCTGCATGTGTGTAGGTGCACCTGTGCATGCAATGCCTGTGGAGACCAGAAGAGGGCACTGGATCCCCTGGGACTGGAGTTAAGGACAGTTGTTAACCACCATGTGGGTGCTAGAGACCAAACTGGAGTTTTCTGCAACAGGAGCCAATGCTCTAAACCAGTGAGCCATCTCTCCAGCCCCTTACTTTATATATTTTTTTATTACTTAAAAAAATCAAGTTGTATTTAACATTTACTATTGCTTAATGTTTGCTTATAATATTATTTATTTATTTGTTTATTTTTAGTGTTAATTTTTGAGATAGGATTTCCTTGTGTAGCTCAGGTTGGCCTTTACTTACTGGGTAGAGCAGGCTGGCTTCAAACTTGCAGCAATTTTCCTTCTCCAGCCTCCTGAGTGCTATGCTTATAGGACTATACCACCATGCTCTGCTCTACAATGCCACTTTAGTAACTTCATATCCATCATAATCATGTGGTTTACCATATTTAAAAAATCCACAAGTTGAGCATTTAGGTTTTAAATTTATGGCTAAGCTGGTGTGGTGGTACACACCTTTAATCCCAGCACTTGAGAGGCAGAGGCAGGTGGATCTCTGTGAGATTGAGGCCAGCCAAATCTATACAGTCAGTTCCAGGCCAGCTGTGGATGGATACAGGGAGACCCTACCTCAAGAAAACAAAACAAAGCAAAAATTGTAAAAAGTTAAAAAATAAATTGATGGCTAAACTCGCTGTGATAGGTATCCTTCAGTTAAGTAATTCAACAGTAAAGATTCCTGTAAGTGAAAGAGCTAGCTCAAAGAACAAGATCATCTCAAGCGATTGGGGATGCGGGGATAGCAATTTTTAAGAAAATAATTCCTAGCTATAATTCTTCATTTTGCTGAAATAGCTTTGTTTTCCCCATTATGAGGACCATTTGTTGGGCATTCTCCAGTGGGATTTTCTCAATACCTACAATGTTCTATGTCTGTGCTGTGCAGTGTTGACAGTCACTGGTCACATGGGGCTACTGAGCACTTGATATATGGCTAGCACAACTGAGGAACTGAATATTAAAATTTATTTACTTTTAATGAAATTAGACAAGCATAGCTCTGGTCCCTTGGGTCTCCAGTATTTCAGACTCAAGTTCCTAAATGCTAATCCATAAACTTGAACTAATAGATGACAGTTTTTACCAGTCCCTTACAAATGAAAACTTAACAAAATGTTACTATTCATAAGTCAAACCTCACTCAATCTGAATAATCTTCCTTTCTTATAAGATTAATTTTTACCTTTGCTGAGATGTGGTCCAGCATGTTAGCTAGAATCAAATCTGGAGCTTTAGAGTCTACCTAGGCTCAAATCCTGCCCCCTCCCTCTCCTCCCCCAACCTCCCAGCTTTATCAGATGACGAGCCTAAACAAGTTGCTTGGGGTCTCTGGTCCTCCCCGTACTTGTCTGTAAGGGAAATGATAGCTGCCATAATATTTGGGTTGGGTTGTAGAGAGGACTGAACTTGTAAATACACATTATAATAGTCCACATGGGCTCTGGCACCTAGTTAGGTGCTCAGAGAATGTTCATTTCATCTCATTAATCTTCTTACTACAACAGTGATGCAGATGGGGGATTTTTGGCATTTAGATGTCATATTTTTCATGGACTCACTGCTGATGGTTCGAACATTCTAATTAGGCAAAGTAAACAAGTGGTCAACCTATGTTCAGTTCTAATAAAAAAATATTTATCCATGCATCCAAATCTTGGGAACCACAGTGGTTGTCACCCATGAAAGTTTTGATCTCACTGCCTTGATAATATTTACCTGAGACATTTGAGGGGAAAACAAACCACATTCTCTATTTTAAACATTCAGTTTAAGTCCCATGTTTATTTCCAGGATCAGAAGTCAGCGTTGTCCCTAGGCTGGCACGATGGTATTTAATGATAGTTTCTTTAGACTAAGCCGAAGTTATAAAGTTAAACTTTAGATACTATGCCTGCTAGAGTTTGGGCTTGAAAGTTTCTCAAAGGCCCATGGGTTGAAAGTTTGACCTGTAACCTGGGTTGTTATTGGGTGGTGGTGGAAACTTTATGAGGTAGGGTCAAGTGGGGTGATGTGAGGCCATTGGGGACATTCCCTGAGAGGGGCCATTGGGATTCTGTTCCTTCCTTTCTCTACTCCTCAGTTACCTCGAGGTGAGGAGCTTTGCTCCTACCCCATGCTCCCATCATGATGATCAGCCTCACCACAGGGCCAAAGAGAAGGGGCCACATGATCACGGCCTGAAGCTTCTGAAGCCATGAGCCAAAATAAACCTGTTCTTCCTATATGTTGTTCATTTCAGGTGTTTGGTGTGTTGTGGGAGCTAGCCAACACAGTTCCCCAACACATATCATTAATGGCCTGGAACTTAATACAAATCACATAGATTTTAATACTGAAGCAAGACCTAAGGCCTTTTTCAAAGCCCTTTTAAGAATGCTCCTACTCACTGTCAACCACAAATCTCTGGGTTAGCTTCTCTGCCTCAGTTTTACAATAGAACACCATTCGAAGGGTAAGCGACAAATAAGGGAAAATGTATCACCATTTTGGAGGAAAAAATGTTTTCGGTTCAAGGCATCAGCCTTACTACGACAACCTCTCACCTGGACTGCCTGGTGTCCACAAACTGTTCATTGATGGAGGATTTTCTGAAGTGGAGTCGCTCAATACCAAGAGACTTGGGGGGTAGAATTCTTGGAGAATGAGGTACTGAACTTGGTCGCTGCCCAGCAAGAGTGAAGGAGTCATTGGCTAAAATGAGTCAACAAATTAATGAATAAAGAAAACTAAATGAATACTATACCAACAATTCAAAAAAAAGGGGAAGATCTGATGAACAGTGGGTTCAAGATGACATTGGTAGGAAAGCATGAATTTCAAAAAATTAAGCTTTACAATTTGTACATTAGAAAAAATGGGGATTGGAGAGATGGCGCAGCAGTTAAATACACTGGCCGTTCTTGCAGAGGACCTGGGTTTGAGTCCTAGCACTCAGATGGCGGATTCAACACTTCCTTCTGATCTCTGTAGGGATTGCACAATGTGGGTGCACTTACACATATGCAGCCAATATACTCATACACATAAAATAAAAATAATAAATAAAATATTTTAAAAAATAAACTGAGTTCCCTTCTGAGGTCTGAACCAACTTTTGCCAATTAAGAGGCACCACTCTGTAAGGAACTCACTCTAGCAGAATGGATAGCAGTATAATTTTCAATATGTCTTATTAAAGAAAAACCTCAACTTGCAAAAGGTCCAGGAAATAGGCCAGACTGCTTTTGTTGATCTTTAAAGTTCTTAGGCCTCTAAGGCCACAGGTTCATTCTACTAGTGAATGGCAATGAACAGGACTTACACTGTACCACTGGAGACTTGTTTTGTCTGTCACCAATCCATCTATTGCCAAAGAGGAATGGTAAGTCTGACCAAACTAGAGCTCAAAGCAAGGATTCTAAATGGTGGAATTTCATGCACCACTACGCGGAGATAAATCAGTGGGGGGTAGGTGCAGGGCAGTGGTTTCCTGGAATTCTTCAAATCACATCAGACAGATAGCCAATCAGCTGATTGTACATAAAGGACTACAAGGAAGTGCTCAACTGCTTGATAGGAACCACATTCCATCAGAGAACACACTGAACTAACACGGGTCAATGTAACCCACATTGCTTACCTACGCATGGCAAAATGACACCAAATCTAATTCATAAAATGTGCCTTTCTTCCTAAGGAAAGTCAAGCAAACTCCCACATCTCCAGGAAACAGGGATCCTCAAAGTGTACACTGGTTTCCTATTGTTTTTTGTCTTTTTGAGACTGGGTCTCCCTGTAGCCCAGCTGATCTGGAACTCACTACGTAGGCCAGGCTGGTCTTGATGGTACAGAGATCCACTTGCCTCTGCCTCCCAAGTGCTGGGATCAGAGGTGTGCACCACCACACCTGGCAGTTTCCTGGTTTTGATCTTGGTTTTTCTTATCTGGACACCAGATAAGTAAAATGTCAGTAGTGGAAAAATCTAGGTGAAAGATTCTGCGACTTCTACAATTCTAAGTCTTTAACTACTTTGAAACAAAGTATAAAAATCCTGCAGGACCTTAAAGTCTTTATTCAAGGACTAACTTTCTCATGTGAGGAATTTTTGATTCTCTGAGTACTATGATTTTGATGTCATGTTTTTAATGTTAAGTTAGCCCGAGTAGATGATAATCATATACCTCCTTCCCCAACCATTTGTATAAGTTATTCTACTTCTCCAAAAGGAAACAATACTATTTTGTTTTGATGTCTGCTATACAGGGCCTCTTGTATCTCAGGCTGGCGTAGACACTTTGTAGCAAAGGAAGACCTTGAACTCCTGATCCTCCTGCCTCTAGCTCACAAATTCTGAGACCACAGGTGTGTACCACCACATCTGGTTTATGCAGTGTTGGGGATTGAACTCAGGGCTTCACGAATGCTAGGCAACTGAGCTGCATTCCCTGCTCAAGCTTCACTTAAATTTAAAAGCTCATCTTAGGGACTGAAGAGATGGCTCAGCAGTTAAAAGCACTTGCTGCTCTTCATGGGACCTGAGTTCAGTTCACAGCATCCATGTCAGGTAGTTCACAACTACCTGTAACTCCAGCTCTAGGAGAGCCGACATCCTCTTCTGGCCTCTGCAGGTACCCACACCCATGTGTGATATACTCACACGGACACACACATATAAACAAGAATAAAAATAAAAATAAATCTTTAAAAAATTATCTCAGTACTTCAGAGCAGGCTATATTTTAAAATGGAAAAAGGAGCAACTTACGATCATCATAGGTGGTGGTATCAGACAAAGAGCTACTCTCTGATGGAATTATATCTTCTGTGAATAGAAATAACTGCCTTTAGTATGACAGTGTATGGATACAATTAGAACATGTTCAATGAAGCAATTTTCAATGGAGTGCATCTTATTTTCATTTAGATAAATAAAACTAATTACAGTGCATTAAGAATAATTAGATGTTGTAGGAACCACTGACGTGCTGCTGAAGATAAAAACATCTTACGTATTATACAGATACCACAATGGAGTAGTCATTCTTTAATATCTATAGAGGATCGGTTCTAGGGCCCTCCAAGGATAACAAAATCTAAGGGTGTTCAATTCCCAAACTTCCCTTATACACTTTGAGTCATTTCTACATTACTTATAATTCCTAATATGATATAAATGCATTGTAAATAGTTGTTCTATATTGTTTAAAAAGAATCAAAACAGAAAATATGCACTTTTCAGTACAGAGACTATTTTCCCCACAAATATTTTTGACCTGAGGTTAGTTGAATCTTTAGATGTGTAATTTGAATATACAAAGGGCTGACTGTATTTCTTTTCTCACTCCCTCTCTCCCTTTCTTCTTTTTTGAGACAGGGTCTCATGTAGCCCAGGGTGGCCCTAAACTCTGTGTAGCCAAGGATGACTCTGCTACTTTCACCCCTGCAAGTGCTAAGATTATAGACATACACCACCATGCCTGGTTTTATGTGGTGAAGGGGATGGAACCCAAGGCTTCAAGCATATGAGGTAAGTACTTTATTAACTGGGATACATCCTCAGCTCCAGACTGTATCTCTTAAAATAGAATAGATGTCCACAGAGTTTGGATCTTAAACTAGTTTGCAATGTTTTCTCTACCTTGAAAGAAAACTTGACCTTTTATATTTGTTTTATGGAGCTTGTGAATTGTAGACATTACCACTTTACTTCTATTTACAGACCGTCGACAACATTCCTGTTCTCAATTTTGACAATTCAAAATGTCTGCAAATATCATCAAATATTTCTGGGGGGTAGAGGGGAAGATTATCCCTATTTAAGAAGCACTGAATAGGAGGACCTATAAGCTATAAGACCTTGGGCAAATAACTTCATCTCAATAAGCACTGTCTGGCTCTGCACTACAATGGGGCTAGCTGGTACCTATCGGGGAGGTAAGCCATTTAATGAACTGATGATGGGACAGTCTTAGCAAATGACAAATGCTAGATAAATACCAACTATATTTCTTACTTTCATAAGCCATGCATGACAGTCTGATTAGAAACAACAGTGATACTGCTCTGAGCATATCGGGTGCCTATCCAATATTAAATGACATATTTGGTAGAAAGAGACAGCTCAGATACATTATGCTTTTGCAAATCATTCCATATTCAGTGTTAACAGTTTTGGTGGTAGGTTCTAGCCAAATACAGCACCTCAGTATAACTTTCAAAGCCATTCTGAAGCAAATCTCTCTCCATCCAATCTCAAATGCTAATCTTTGTCAGAGCCAGGAGGATGCTCCCTTAATTAGATGCACAATGGAGCTTGAAGGCGAGGTGCCAGTACAGTCAGCTGTCCAGCACACTTAAAAAAAAATGTATCTATCCACTATATGCTTAACCAGTGACACCATCTGCTGCCCAAATGTCAGCCACTGAACACTTGAGTCTAGCATAGTCTGAGCATGAATGGGCTGTGACAAATGGCCATGAACATTAGGCACACTGTTAATCACCCATCTCTGTTGGTACAGAATGGAATCACCACCAAGCCAACTGGATCACACATTTAGAAGCATAGTCAAATTCTCCAGCTGTCGTAGACTAATGTTTGTGTATTGATGTTTGTCCATTCATTCTCCAAAGTCTTATCTTTGCAGTATTATGAATCACAGGCCTTAAGCCTGAGTCTACTCTAAACCCAGTTACCATGGTTCATCAAATCCAAGATATATAATTATGCTCCAGGGAAAAAAGTAAGTTATTGCCAATTATGATTGTAGCATACCATCCAGGCTAACTCTTCCAAATTCTCAGATGTCAACACATAAAAGGGGAGGGAATCTTAGATTTAAAGAAATAAAATCACATTTCAATCAATGATCAAGTCTTAAAAACCATACCAATATCTGCATAAGGCCAATTAGACTTAAAATCTACCTGACTGAGACTTCTCACTTTCCTTTTTTTCTGTATATGAAAGTCTATATAGATGCATGATGTCAAAAATCTTGGAAACAGAAGAAAATCACCACATTTGAAATTCCATGGCTATTAGTACTTTGAAATATTTCTTAATCGGCCTCTTTGTGTACATGTTTGTACATGTTAGCATCACCCTGTACCTTGTATCTTGTTCTTCTGCATTCCGTGTCCTATCATGACCATTTACCTACCTTTAAATAGTCTCCTGAAATGCACTAACTGTAAGAGTTCCCCTCTATTCACGCATGCAGGAATAGGTTCTTGAGAAAATGCAGGGTCTGCCACATTAAGTTCTATGTATAAAATTCAACATTCTTAAAAGCCTGCACTGTCAAAATTATTTTGGGTAGTGATATCAGTCCATTTACTCTACTTTATCATGAACCAATATTGCTATGAAAACTTCTATCCTGAGAGTTAAAGCGATGCCATTGTATAGGGCTGCAGCAGTGTCTATCACTGAACCCGATAGTTTGTATATCTAGGAGACTGAAAATCCTTTACCCTAAGACACCTACTTTTGATCTTGTTTGTTCTGTCTTTCACCAAGTGAGCAAGTTGAGGAATACTATCATCAAGAGGACTGAGTGCAGGGCTCACAGAAATCTTGCATCTTACTAACCTGGTACCATAACAGCTGCTTTCTGGCTGGGTTTCTTCCCACATCGGATTCGGTATTCGTTGATCGCATTTTCGATCTCCTGAAGCCTTTTTACCGCATCTGTGTAATCTTGCCTCCGCTTTTTCTTCACAGTTTTACAAAGGTCTGGCTCATTGGCAAGTTTCTTTGCAGCTTCAACTAGCTTTTGCTGTATTAGGAAATTGCTCTCCAGTTCTTGTAAAGCCGGGTCCTGCATTCAGACAAGGATACTGCCTTATGTTTATGGACATATATAGTCACTCTTTCATGCATTGGATCATAAAGAAAAATTCTTGTAAATTCTTGAATAATATACTCTTTGGGAATAAAGTTGTCTACATTTTAGTATATAAACATCCTCAAATACTAAGAAAACAAGACATCGCTTGGCACATGTTAACTTGAACGTCTCATGATCTGTCCTCTTTCTCTTTTTAAAAAGGACTTGTTTATTTATTTTTATTTTAAGTGTATAAGTGGCTTGCCTGCATGTATGTAAGTGGAGGCATCAGATCCCCTGGAACTGAAGTTACAGACAGTTGTCAGCCACCATATATTGGTGTTGATAACAACCTGGTTCCTCTGCAAGAGTAGCCAAAGCTCTTAACTGCTGAGCCATCTCTCCAGCCCCTTCCTTTTTCCTTTTCAAGGAAGGAAAAGACCTTTTACTCATTACCTTGGTTGGGTTAAGACAGGTTTTCAAAGAGAAATTCTAACCTGTGACTCATAGGTGCAGAATGTTACATTCTGATATGGAACTCCAGAGACACTGACTTGGGCTTGACCACCCTTTCTGGTTGGTCCTGGCTGCATGACTGAATATGCTACTCATCTATAAGCTTTTAATGCTTTAGTTTCCTTCATTTGTAAAAGGAAGAAAGTACTTACTTTATACACATGTGCTGAAGATTAAATAAATAAAATAACGTGTGTTGCTTAGGTCAGAGTTGGGTGCACAGGCAGGAGGCACTCAGTAAATATCAAAACTAGCTCTATTACGAATGGAAACACCTACTATTTTCTAAAGCTAAGATGTTTAAATTTCTATAAGAAACACACAGTGAGTCGTATTGGCATAATTACATATGCTATGCAATTAAGAAAGCATGCACTCTGTGGGCCACCAACTTTTTTAACTTAATTATGTTGAATGCCGTTATATGAGTTATCTCATTTAATATTCACTACACCCTTCAGGGGGAAGTTCCATTTTTATTTCCACTTTACAGATGAAGAAATTGAGACACAAAAAGAGAAAACTGAAACTTTAGGAAGACAAAAGTATTTGCTGAAGGCCACTTTGTTTTAAAGTGAAAGAATCCAAAGCTAATATTCATTTTTAATCTCTGTAACACCATATCTCAACTTACACAGGGTTCAGGTAGTGCTGTCTATAATCTGGGGAACAAGAGGGCAAGAAAGAAACTCAATTTTGATCAGAGTGGTCTACACTATCCATTTTCACTGCTTAAAGAGAATCCCACAGTATCGAGTGAAAAGGCAAAGGTGTAGGTGGAGAATACCAAACAGATAGATGGCTTTTCTATCTTGTCCTCACAGGACAGCTCAAAGCAGGCTTCGTACCTCCTCAGTAGGCAACAAGTTGTCATCTAACTTGAACGCAGTCCCCACTCGCCTCCTGACCTGAGGGGGCTTCTCGCCTATGTTCAGTGGATACTCCTTTGGCATTTTGCCAGTGAGCTCCTGTAAAACAGGACAGGGTCATGAGCAGATAATGGACACAGGCCACAGCAACCCAACACAAGTGCCCAGGAAGGCCAAGGCCACTCACAGCCTCACGCAGACAGATCTTCTTCAGCTCCTCCACTTTCTTCAGGAGTTTTTCTTGCAACATTTTCTCCTTCTTCTTGAGTTCTAGGATTTTCTCCCGCTTTTGCTCCTCACCAGCTTCTGAGTCTTGAGAACCTGGAGTTGGAGGAAGGGCGGCGAGGTTTACACAAGGCCCGTTTCCTTCCTTGCAAAAGGACAAAGGACTGTGAAGGCAAGCTGATATTTAGTCCTAGCTTTCTTTCTTTTCTCCTTGTTTCTAAACATAATGAAAGGAAACTGGAGAACATTTTCACATACTTTCAGGCAGCAAAAAGAGCCTGGAAAGAGAATGTGCCTTCTGTACACTGTAGCTAGTATCTTAGAAGCCATGATAAAATGCTTTATGGTCCAGGCACATACAAAGAAAATTTCATTTTTCTAAGGAAGAGTAGAGGAAGATGAGCTCTAAGATGGTCCCATCCAGTGTTCCTTTAGAGGGTAAGCAAGAAAGATAATGGATGTTCTGTGCAAAGGAAGCTTATGCTGCTGCTTCAGAACCACAAGCTGAGAAGGATCTAGATGAGAGAAGTCACATTAGCCAAGCTCCATAGACTTAGTGATAAGAGACTCCAGAAATCCCACAGAGGGAGGACTGGGCACAGCAACTACATTTTGTGATGCAGCACTTGTAATCATGTTTATAGTCTATACAGAATTTAACAAATACAAAACAAATATTGGGAGAAGTTGGCAAAATTTATGGGGTGCAAACCTCTTGTCAAGACAGCCTTAGGTACTCAGTATCTTTGCATCTCATGTTGCCTATACGGCCTAACCATGTACAATTGAACTTTATGTTCTTGAAAAATAGTTTAAAGCTGGGCGCGGTGGTGTATGCCTTCAATCTCAGCACTCATGGGGGCAGAAGCAGGCAGTTCTCTATGAGTTCCTATCCAGCCTGCTCTACACATAGTGAGTTCCAAACTAACCAGGGGTACATAGTGATACCCTGTCTCAAAACAAATAAAAATAAAAACAGTTTTAAATGGTACTCAAAGCTGTTGCACACTGTATGTTGTAGGTTTTGATCTGTATTAATTCAACAGCAAACCTAAAAATTTTGTAGCCACTTTTGAAAGAGATGCATCTTTGCTCTGGAAACTGTTATTGAGTATGTTAAAGCTGTAATGAAATGCTTCTTCTAAAAAAAAAAAAAAATTGTCCTCAAAAGATACATTTGGAAATGGTTTAGAACAAATAAAAACAAACAAAAAAATTTAAAAAAAGAAAATAAGAAGGAATCCCATGAAGCACCTGAGGAGATTAAGCTGCCGTTGCTTGCCATGATGAACTGACTTTTTGCCTCCAGGGTCACCAGTTTGCAGACCCTTTGTGTTCCTGTCTCGGTTAAATCCATTGCTATATCATCTAAGCTTCTGGCTGAGGGTATTTTTGCCTATGAAATACATAACATTGAAATGGAATTAGCACAGTTAAACAAATTTTAAATAAATACAATGATAAAGTTACTATGCAATTAAAAAAAAGTCACCACAGAGGACAATTTAGAATCTTTAAAATGACACTTTAGAAATAACACAAGACTTTAATTTTGCATCTAAAAGGTTTCAGTAAGAATGTACTATTCAGTCACTAACTTTAAATGCCACCAGCAACATCACCAATGTAGGTACATATGCGTGCCAATCTCATAACTTTTAAATCAGCTATATACACTGCCCATCTTTTAAATGCATGAAAAACTAAAACAGTTGGTAGCAATGCTAAAAAATGAATGCACTTGCATGTTTTCTGAGAACAGAAAGCAAAAGGACTGGAGCTGATCCAGCAAGGGAACACATTCAGTTACTTACTTTGCTCTGCTTCCGGTCCAGGTAGAACTGATGTTGACTAATGGCCATTACCCAGATGGACTTGATAAGAGATGAGTTCGCATACCAGGTTTGCACAAACAGGCCGCTCTGCCCAAAGGTTCTTCTAGACACTGAGATCCTAAAAGATGAAGTAAACCACTTGACTTATTCATCCTTGGGCCAGCAACACATGGCATGTGCCCACCAAGCAACTAAGCATCTTCTTCCTAATTGTCTCTCAGATGCACAGACTGAGCCTGACTGGGGCTGAGTTTTTGATGTTGTCTTTTTGTAACAAATTACTCAGACCTAAGCAAGCTCTGTATAAACTCACACAAACTCAAAAGTGGATAAGGAACTATTTGAAGCAGAAGCTGTAATAAAAATATTTAGGTAGAAACCTCCAAGAAGTAGAATTACCCTAAGCGATAAAGGATAAAGGTGATGATTTAAAGACATAGCCACCAGACCTGAGGGATTGGTGCCTGCCCTGAGGTGAAGAGAGAACATCTCTGACCTTTGAGGATTTTCCCTTCTATGATAGTAGCAGGAGATAAACATGATGATCCTGGGTAAGGGACTGGAGAGATGGCTCAGAGGTTAAGAGCACTGGCTGCTCTTGCAGAGGACCAGGGTTCAGTTTCCAACACCCACATGGTGGCTGACAACCACCTGTAACTGCAGTTCCACAGGGTCCAACACCCTCTTCTAGCCTCCCGTGGTCACTGCATGATGTGGATGCATTTACATTCATGCAGGTAAAACATTCATAAACATGAAATAAAAATAATTTTTTAAATGATACTTGTTAAAAATATGCGAGTCCCACAATGGTCCAGACTGCTGCTTGTGCACAAATTAAAAAGGGAAGAATTCTGGGAGGAGAGTGAGCACAAGAGAGGTAGGGAGAGAGTGAGAGGGAGGAGGGAGGGAGAAGGAAGGGGGCGTGAGACAGCCAGGCACTCAGTGTTGTGCTTGTGGGGGGGCACCAATGTTCTCTGTAGGAATTGGTTAATCTCCTTGGGTCATCTTTTATCTTTTTGTCACAGCCATTTCCTCCCACCCCTCTGACCTCCAAACACTCATTATCTGGGGACTGAAAAGTTACCACTGATTAAGAAGCACTTGGAGAACCTACATCCTAACCTGCATTCATGAGAATAACTGTTGTTTTTAAGAACCCAGGAACATTCAAATTAAAAATAGCAAAGGATCTGAATAGATAATTCTCTTTAGAAGTTAAAAAGTTAAGAAACCCATGCAAAGAGGCTCTGGCCATCATTAGTCCTGAAGGAAAGTGTAGATCAAACCACCATGAGATGACTCCATCACAACCACTAGGATGGCTTTAAAACACACACTTTGTACCCCCTGGTAGGGCTACCATGCTCCAGTGGATGGTTCACACCCATGAGTATATGGGTAGCACAAATTGGAATCAGTGGGTTATATATATTTAAAAAAGAGAACATGAAATTAGGAAGGGTAGAGGTGGGGGTGGATCTGGCATGAGGTGGGGGAAGGATTGATGGTGAAAACAATCAAAATATATTGTATATATGAAGTTCTCAAAAATAATAAAATACTGGGGCTGGAGAGATGGCTTATCGGTTAAGAACACTAGTTGTTCTTGCAGAAAACCCAGGTTCGAGTCCCAGCACCCACACGGCAGCTAACAACTGTCCTAACTCCAGTTCCAGGGAATCTGACAGCCTCCTCTGTCCTCCATGGGCATTGCACAACACAGGTGCACTTACCTACATGCAGGCAATACACGTATACACATAAAATAAAAATAATGAAATATTTTTTTAAAAAATACTGTATTTTAAAAAGAATAATACGCGTAAATATTTAAAAAAAAAGTCATGCATTTTTAACCCCCTCCCCCAAAAAAATTTAAAACAAGTGTTAGTGAGCATGTGCAAAAACTGGAAACATATCACTAGTGGGAATGTTAAGTGGCCCAGGACTTTGGAAGTCTGACAGTTTCCCTAAAGGTTAAACACAGTTAACCCTTTGACTTCCATGATTCTACTCTGAGGTAAATGTTCAAGAGAAATGAAAGTAAACACAAAAACCTATACACTGATATTCATAGCACTACTATTCAAACAAGACTCTAAATGAACCTAACCTTCGTGGATCGTGCACCTCAACAGCAAATTTCTTCTCACGAAAATATAAGTTTTCCAGCTGCTTCCATTGAAATAACTAAAATAAAGAAAACAGGAAAGGCACATAGCTTTAAATACTATTATTTTTAGGAAGTCTATATATCAGCCTCATCACCACACGATTTTAAGTTCCCATGGAGGTACACAGACAAGGTCAAGCACAAATAAGTGATTCATTAACTTTTTTATAAATCAGCTATAACCTGAAAGCATCTTAGTCCTTCTTCTGACAGCAATATTTACCTAGTAAACCTCATCTCACCAATAAATCTTCTTTGAACAATGAAACCCAACATCTCAGAGAGAACATGCAGTGCTCTTTCTCCCCTGACTCCAGGTACAACAGGAAACCGGCATTGATTCCGGTAAGCATAAACCTTGCATTCAAAGATGCTGACTTCGTATTTAAATAGAAAGCCACTCAAAAGCATGGTTCAGTAATGATCAGAGATTACATTTCAAAGAATGCAAAATGAAAGTAAAAGAGATTCCCATGCTGAGGTGAGTCTCAGAGAAGAGGTTGTGGCTCACTTAGTGAGTTCCCCTAAGTGACAAGTCAAGCACCAGGAATCGGCCAAAGCTGGAGTCCAGGTGAGGGTTGACTGTTCTCTAACTTTCTCAAGTTATAAGGGTTTGGTACAGAGGTCCTAGCCTCTATCTTCATCCTGTTCACGTTCTGATACTGGACTTAGTGTGATTCTCCAGTTAGATGAAGATACCAACTTTGTTAGAAATGTACATCTAAAATCTAAAAAAATTTATAAAACCCTGTGCATTCACAGGACTGAGTGTGTCTGGCTGTCTTTCTCAACCCCTTCATTAGGTCTTGGACGAGTGCAGGCTTTACAAGCTCTCATCTTGGATTTGACGAGTCCTCAGCTCTGTCCTCAGAGAGGACTTGATGCTGAAGAAAATAACTACAAGCAACTTCAATCCATTACTAGACTCTACTTTAAAATGATGCTCAAAGAATCTTAAAGGAACACTTTCAGTTGTCTAAGAAGCATTGCTTTGCACTACACAGTCAGCAAAACCATTTCCTGAAGGGACAGAACAGGTGCGTTTTTAGAAGTGTGGCCCCCACGGAAACCAATGGGCTGAGCCACAGGTTTGTAAGAGACACAATGTTCAGGTGACCCTCAGTACCAAGCCACACAACAAGTGAGCACACACCAAGGACACAGCCCTGCATGCTCCCCCCACACAGCTGTCTGCAACTGCCCCACTGGCCAGGGTTCAAAGAGGAATTAGGAAACACATAAAGCTACATACCGACGTCCTACAGTATCTGTGGACTGGAGGTGGTCATTTCTTTCAATCCAGTGGTCCCCCAAATGCTTCAAAAACATGGGAGGAAGTCCCAAGTTCTGTCCACCTCCCCAGTCCAAGACGGCAGCTCCCGTACCTTCTCTTCTGAGTCAAGTTTCATAAGACATTTAGGTGTAACTCAGTTTCATAAACTGAGCCTCCCACGGCTGACACACCACTGACATCAGTCACTCTGCAGAGGGACGCCTCCCCAGCGCACTCTTTCCTCCCATCCCGGAGAGGAGGGCCAAGTTCTCCCAGAAAGATTTTTCCCAGAAGAGCCGCTTTTCTAAAATGGGGCAGCCAGGACTCCCAAGGTGCTTCCAGGGAGGTGAGCCGGCTTTGAATGCAGCACGAATTTCACCCCAGGCTGTTTTAGGAAAACCTTTTTACCTAGGTCTACTCACTCCGCACATGAACAGGTTCAACCGGAAGAGTCAGAAAGCAGCCAGGCTGTTTTCCTTTGCGTCCATTCCCACACACACAAAACCAAGGCTCCACTTGAAACTGGATCTCTGAGTGCCACGCCGCCTCCCCCACTTATCAGTTACAAATGGGAAATGCCAGTGCCTTTGACTTCATTCAGCCTGCGCAGGGCAGAGAGCAAGCAGGCTCCCAGCAAAGAAAAACCCTCCTTAAAAAGATGAAGGGCTTCAACTTATTTGGAGAATTGCAAATAATTACATGGTAACTGGATTTGCAAAAAAAGTGATGGGAACCAGAGAGGGCTTATAAGTTTCAGAAGAGCTTCCCATCTCCCCTGCCAGATCTTTAAAGTTTATGCAAAATGGAACAGTATAAAAGTGGGCTGGAAGGACACAAACTGAACTCTTTATCAGATGGATTCTGCGTAGGCTGTAGAGATTGTAAATGGAACGGAAAACTTCAGCTTGACCAGCAACATTTCTTTTTAACACAAATTAAGATACAGTAACAAATTCCATAGTGTTAGTCACTGTTGATGTAAGTCGTTGCTTCTGTTGTCATAATTCTTAGAACTCCTATCTCAGAATTTAGTCCCAAATTGAAACAATACCTGTTTCACAAAATTAAAAGAATGAAAATTTACACAAAATGAACACTAGTCCAACTGTTCGGAGCCACCTGGCAGTGTTTAGGGAGGTCCCTTCAGAAATTTCACTTGCTTATCACTGTTTATCAGTGTTTACAGTTACTACAAACAGAGTAGCAGTACTTGTAGATGTAAGATAGTTTTGTTTGATTTTTTTTCTTTTCTTGAAATGTCTGCAATCGTTCTTCAAGTGTACTTTGAAATTGCGTGCTTGATTTCAGGAGGTAGGATGGGCTCTGAAACGGCCAGTGGAGGGGGGTAGAGCTCATCCAGAAGACCCTGGAGGGCATATAGCAGGTGGCTGAGCTTGGTAGAGTCCCCTCCCGCCACTTCTTCCAGTGCATAGTTTAAAGGATAGATCAGAGAGGTTCCCTCTGGCCAAATTCATGTGGAAATTTCAGAGGGGGAAAAGAGAAAGGGGAAACTCTTTAAGGGAATATACACCAGGCAACTTGAATTATTTTGAACACTTCCTTGGGAAAATAGTGTTTCAAACACATAGTAAGGAATACTCTTTTAGTCCCCCAAAGATAAAGATGGCCAGGGAATCAGTCTTCATTTGAAGAAAAGATCGAAGTTCAAAGGGAGGCAGAGTGTGCTTCCTATTTGGAAAATTGTTATGCATGGTCTTACAGGTTAAGACTATTATGCATTACACATACAAACACACTTGTAATTTTTCTACTAAAACAGAAAAAAATAATTTAAGTTAGTCCCACTCTTGAAGATTTTAAAGAAAGAAGAAAAAAGAAAAGGGACATTATTTGTTTTTAACAGACTTAAGCCTACATTTATTTATTTATTTATTTATTTATTTATTTATTTATTGAGATGGGGGGGTATCTCATCATACTATGTAGCCCTACCTGGGTTGGAGCTTGCTATGTAGACCAGGCTGGCCTCAAACTCACAGAGATCCACCTGCCTCTGCCTCCCAAGTGCTGGGACTGAAATGTTTCCTAATAGCAATCATGAATCCCTGTTTATTGCTGCGTGGCACTCACTAGAAACTATGTGTTTGAGGATTTGTTGTTTCTAGAATTGATGCTGCTAGTTGCAGAAAGGGTGAAAATAAGTCTATCCACTAGGCCTTCCTACTTTAGACTCACTTAGAATGATGAGTTGAGCCCTTTGAAACCAACAAAGCAAAGGAAGCAGATAGTGGTTCATAGATAGACGGCCATCTTGGGTTGCTTTGATATTGCAATAAAAAATAAATTAAAAGATATGCCAAAAATTTATTGCAATAAATAAAAAGATACAACAGAAAAAAAAGAGGAGGAACAGCATAAATAATATCAACAAAGGTATAATCAAGACATCACAGTAGAAAAGGGCATGTCTTCAGCTCATCTTTTCTAAAAACAAGGAAGGGTCAAGGATTTACACATGGACACAGAAAAGCATGGTGGTATCAAAGACTATTTTGTAAATGAACTTGTGTAAAATACTGCTTCCAGGACAGCTGGGGCTACGGGGAGACCCTGTCTCAAAAAGACAAAAAACAAAACAAAACAAAAACAAAACAAAACAAAAAAACAAACAAAAAACAAAACTGCTTTCTGAAGAAATGTCTCTATCCTTAGGTATAAAAGAAACTGATGACTTTAGAAAAATTTGCCACTTCACAATACCTTATACAATGAAAAGAATGTCTTGAATACTTAAGGCATTTTTAAAAATCAATAGCTGATATTCAGTTAGATCCCACTCAGTTATACACACTTAAAAAACTGGATGAAGGGACTGGAGAGATGACTCAACTGTTAAGAGCACTGGCTGCTCTTGCAGAGGACTTGGGTTTGGTTTCCAGGACCCACATGGTAGCTAACAACCTTTTGTATATCCAATTCCAGAAGATCTGATGCCCTCTTCTGGCCCCTGTAGACATTTCACACAGGGGTACACTTACGTGCAGGCAAGAAATTCACATACACAACATAAAAATAAATAATTTTTTTTTAACTAGATGAAATCACCTCATCCCCATCTCTACCCTGTTACAAAGATTCCTAAATATCTGAGACTATTGTCAAATGTAAAGAGAGAAAATAAAGCAGGACCCATGTATACTTACTGCTTTTGGATTCATTCCTTTTCAATCAACAGTACTTTTTTGAGTACTTTGTATGGGTGATGTCCTGTTCTTGTTGGTCCCATCCCTCATAGTGCCTAAAGTAACCATGCCAGCCTCCTGAAGTTTTTATCTAATACCACTACTTAGAGTTGTACTGATTGGCTAGACATCTAACTTTCCTGAGCCTCAGTTTCCTTTTCTGAAAAATGGACCAACAATCTCTGTCTCCAAAGCTTGTCCAAATACAAGATTAAGTTTGCAGAACACTCTTCCCAGGATATACATTCAGTGAGTGTTACGTGTTATGAAGGACTCTCTGTAGACTTCTCTACTTTTTATCAAATGGGCAACAGCCATTCAAGAGCAGAAACAGAGCTGGAAACAGCTATCTGGCCCCCACATCTGTCTTTCCACTAAGAGGAAACAGCTCAGTTATTCTGTTGACATAGCTGTGTCATCAGGTCTCTAACTTCCAGAGTCTCAGGCACTATAAACCAGGCTGGGCTGCATGTGTTGATCTCCTGGGTGGTTTCCTGATACACCCAGAGGTAGGAAATCTGTTCCCTGTCCTGTACGAAGA